AAGACCCAGTGGGTCGGGCTCTAAAGCACTATGCACATGGTACACATGATGCTTCCAAAGGGCATGAGTTTTGCCTTGCGGACATCCTTAAAGGCACTAATGGTAAGAGCGTTTAGGAGTTCATCCAGCGAGGCAGCTTTAAAGGGATCCGGTAACTTTGTCTCATATAATTATAAACCTTTAGGTCAGTCAGGAACCTCATGGCTTTTACTAGCCGATCGCCTGTTTGATTATCAAGATATTTATGATTGGAAATCGAAAGCAAATTTTGCGTTTTCCTAACGGTTTTCCTAACACTAAAGTCTGTTAGAGAAAACGAGTATGGAAAAACCGGTCACTCAAAGATGTTTCCTTTTTTGAGGCACTTCTTGATTAATTTTGAAGCGTTAATTTTTTAGGGCTTCAATATTACACCATATCACATACACTGATAACACGTAGGGCCGTGGATATCAGATTTAACATTGTTAAACGATACCTTTAACGAGATATCCACTTAGAATCATACCATTCACGCATAAGCGGGCAAGGTACAGAGGGAATGAAGTCAACAACTTATTATAAGTCATTTCGATATTGTAAGGAAACCTGTCCCAGAATGCATTCCCTATCCCCATTTCAAGTCAAGTAGAAAAGAGGGGCAGGGGAGGGGGAGGGAGTAGGGAGAGGGAGAAGGAGAGGGGAAGGAGAGGGGGAAGGAGAGGGAGAAGGGTGAGAGGAGGAGAGTCCAATGAGTTAGATAAGAGGAAAGGAAGGGAGAGGGTTTTGAGGTAGATTGTGTTTTTATAAAAGGGAGAGGGAGAGGGAGAGAGAGAAGGAGAGGGAGAAGGGGAAAGGAGGGGGGGGGGGGGGGAGTCCAACGAGTAACATAGGTGGAAAGGAAGGGAGATGGTTTTGGGCTATATTGTGTTGTAATAAAAGAAAAACTCATAATTTCAGATTCATTCAATATGTTAAAAAATATGATTTTTTTTTTTGGGGGGGGGGGTAAGTATTCAGTCTCATTCTGCAAAAGAAAGAAATGTTTGTTCTAGTTTTGGGGATGAAAAAAATGTGTAGTGCGGTAATATTTTCCTATTATACGATTGTGATATATTTTAGTCCTATACATTGTGAAATTATGAACAACGAATTATGTTGTATTTATGTTCGTTTATCAAATGATAAAAAAGCCTTGTTATAATTATGTTGCAGTTTCGTATAAACTTATGATATGTACGAAAAAGAAATGAAGTTTTGAGAAATAAAATCAATGAATACAAAAAATAGTGAGCATAACAATAAATGAGTCTCTGAAAGAAATTTGCAAAAGTTGGCATCTGGCCATTTAAATGTTAATGACCATTCCCATCTTGTAGAGTCAAATTAAAACAATTTCAAAAAAAGACCAATCACAGAAACAAGAAAAGAGAATCATCCTGAGCTTATCAATTATCCTCATGGTTTCTATTTTTTTAATTTTCATTGTTAAATACCCTGTCCGATGAAAATACGACTTTATGTCAATGGAAAGCTGAATGAACAACTTAAGTTATTTTCCCTTTCAGTATTGCACAAAAGCGAATTAAAACCTTATTTTATTCACTTCTTCAAATCAAAGGTCAACAGGGGACAAATTCGCCGCAGTTACAGTGCTTAATTAATGCAAAATCAAATTTGCGTACTCCACGCCCCCCCCCCCGGGGGGGGGGGGGGGGTACTCACATATTAAGACATGCGGGGGTGTGCAGCTCTAATTGGTCACTTTTTGGCAAAAAATACCTTTAAAAATGGGTCTGTTTTTTTACAAAATTGCAACGGTTAAATGAATGTGCCTTTCCAAACGTGAAAGTTCAAAACGTGATCTTAAGTTATATGTTGGTACTTGGTAGAGGTAATAATTTTCCTTTCATTTGATATATGTTTCATTATATTCTATTGATGATTTACATATACATTTTTAACAATATAGAGTGTCCACCTGTTTTTTGGCAGACTGTTTTATTATTCGATAAGGTTAAGGTTTTTGGTAAGGTTTATTGATAACAATTCAAAGTAACAGCTAAAAGCTAACATATAACTGTAACATACAAAAAGTACAATGTAAAATAGGCAAATATTAATTAATACATTCAGTAATTCAATCGATATGGTAAAAGGAATAAAAAGAGAAAGAAGAAGAGAAAGAAGACATAAATAAGGAGGAGAAAACAAAGGGAAATGGGGTAAATGAAGAAAAAAAAAGAAGAAAATATGGTTAATAATAAAACGAGATATGAATTCGTCACTTGAAGACGAATGAGTTGGTCTGCCTGTTTTTTTTCTAAAGGATCTTTGGTGTTAACGGAGAGAGAGAGAGAGAGAGAGAGAGAAAGAAAAGTGACCAACCGGGAATCGAACGTGGGTCGTCGGGGTGGAAGGCAAGTGCCATAACCACTATACCAAATATTATACACAGAGACATTGCACGTAAACGGAAAATGGGATTCTCAAATCACATTGTGTTGTTAAAATATCAGCATGATCCAAACTTCTGATTAAAAAATAAAATATCACTTTTATTTAGTGTAGAGGATTTTCACAGCTACAACATATTCGAAGCTGGGAAAAAATCGAGCGAAAGTAATCGAGATGTTGCTCAAGACTGGAATGTAGAACCAAGATTTCAGAAAAACTCACCTCTTTTTTTAAAGGGGAAGTCCACCCTGAAATTAAGTTAGTTTTAATAGGAGTAGAAAAATGAGAGAAACAAGTCAGTGAAAGTTTGAGCAAATTCCGATTAAAAATAAGGAAGTTAGGATTTTTGAAGTTGTGATCAATCAAACACAAATTGGCAACTCTATGACGTATCATGCGAGCTCAACTTCCATTTGCTCAGTACTAAAACAATCTAAAATTTTCATTTTCCCTCAAGAAAAATTTCAACCATACATGCACCCTAAATATAATAATTGCAAATATGTTTCTATACTCCCCCTGCAAGGAACAAATATATATTCCGTCATCAATAACGAAGAAAACATGATTTTATGGAATATTATGCACAAAGCAAATGAAGGAGAGCTCGTATGATAAGTCACAGAGTTGCCAATTTGTATTTGATTGATCACAACTTCAATAATTCATAACTTTCTTATTTTCATTCAGAATTTGCTCAAACTTTCACTCACCTGATTTTCTTATTATTCTGCCTCTATCGAAACAAACTTATTTTGGGGGTGGACTTTCCCTTTAATTTCTGGTGAGTGCCCCTTAAAAGGGCCGTTACTAAGTGGGAGGGGTGCCCCATTTTCACCTCTGGTAATTGTCCTTTTCCTTTCCATCCAAAAAGTGCTTCTAATTTAAAGCTAGAGCAACTTTTCTTCGATTTCACCCAAATTTGGCTCGCTACACTAGCTCGTATTTAAAGTTGATATTATTATGTTTCTTATCAAAAATATTTTCAGTCTTTCACGATTAGATTATGCTTAAGACCCCCATCAGGGTTGTTTTTGCCTCCTTATTTTTTTTTTGCGCTTCGACCTCACAAATTTTTGCTCGCTCGCAAATAAATATTTATACCAGCATGCACACCCAACTGCAAGGTACATGTATGTGTATGATGTTTAAACAGTATTTTGGACCATGTAAACAGAGAAACAATCATTGAAACTATCCCTGATAATGTAATCATAGTGTAGGGGTATATAACCATGTCTACAAAATTGTATATTTTCGCTTTGAGTTTTCCCTTTGTAGGTGCCCCTTTTTCCCGGAAAGTGTCCCCTTGTTGTTGATGCTCCCCCTCACTATGAATGACGCTCCCCATCCCCTGGCCTGCTAAAATCCCTGAGCTTCCGGGGGCTCCGCCACCTCGACCCCACGCCAATTTACGCTCTACCTGATCGGAAGCCTCTCCAACTTTGCCGTTCCGCGGGGCCTGATCCTGATGAAAGTGTTGAAAGCTGTTGAATGAAACTGAAGCCCGACGCCAGTGATTGCTGTCAACCCCTGTCAATTCATCCCAAATATTTGAAAAGAACACCTTTTTTTTTGGTCCCAAAAATTTCGCAACGACTCAAGGGGGGGGGGGGGGGGGTTCCAACAAAAATCACACACACACATACAAAAAATGAGGGGGTAACCCCTCCCCCCCCCCCCTACACGCGCCTGGTAAAATTGCAATTAATTATTTTTGTAATGTTTAGATGTCTTCAGATTATTATTTATTTAACTTCAAAACATATCATCAAATAATTAAATAAAATGAGGGGTAGCGAAAAAAAATGGAAGAGGGGCACCCGAAAAAAAAATTCTACATCGTGCCATCATCGATCTCTCATGCAGCCGGACTCGCTGTCCCGGGCTATTTTTGATTTTTAAATCCTTTTAATTTTTTTCAATTTTCAAACAAATAAATAACATAATACAAAATAAATAAAAACCCATATATTATGTGAAACGAGCTATTATGCTAGCTTGTTTCGATATTAAACGTAATGCAAAGTTTTGGGAAATTTTGAAAAATTGGGTGGATAGTGAATCTTTACAAGTTTGATATATTTGGATGCCACTGTGGATGTATTATAAGCATTAAAAGAATTAACTCCTGAAACACTTCTGTTTTCGAGAAAAATTTAATATAACAATTTACCGGTGCTCCCGGTAAATTTTGATAAATTTCAAATAGCGCCTACGGCCGAACAATGGTAGCTGCGACCATGAAAATCTCAGAATATGTAGTCTAGTTGTGATATATAATTTCCAAACGGTAATAGCAAATCGGTCGATTTTAGTCAAGAAACATTGTTTCATAGCTAAATTGATATCATGACCTTGAGAGGGAGCTATACAACATAAAGAGTTTATTATTTATAATTTCATAACTGTAGACTCCATTTCAACCGGGACAACGATCAATGAATATTGTAGGAACGCATATGCTTCCAATATGTTAATTTGAACCAAATACCTTTAATATTATCTGAAAGTAAAAAAAAAAAAAAAAAAAAAAAATTTGAAGAGCGCCATCACAAGCTGGAACAGTGACAACATAGGAAACTTCCCTATGTTTATCGAATTAATTGTCATTATTTCGGCTTCATCATGCGGCGAGCAGCAGGTCTCGGGAAAATCAACAAACAGAAACTTGCTCAGGTAAGATATTTTATTTCAGTTTTGTAAAGTAAAAGTTAAACATCAGGATAAACGGTGTTAAAAGTTATGGACTCTGCATTCAGTTGTTTAGCTGTGGACCGACATACTCCTATTGATGTGGGGGTAGGCTAGTCAGTTTCCACGTAAAGTATGAATATGAATGGGTGACCAAAGTTCGCAGAGATTTTGTGTACCGGTATTAGAGAATGTGATATTCGATCTATGATTTCTCATATTCTCCACAAATTTATTTATTTCAATTTTTACCAGATGGACGGCAAAGTATATTAAAACTTGGCTTCAAGAGACATCGCAATCTAAAATAAAAATTTGATGTCGGATCGGTGTGCACGCTGCAACTAAAAAAAGTCGTAAAAACATTTAGACCTTACTTCGCGCAATGAGGCTAGTTACAGCTGATTTATCAAAAAATGCTATAGAAATTTCATAATTTGCAAGGCAAGATATCATACAATCAGCTGGCAACACTTTTTATTTATAATTTTGAGGATATCTGCTCTTAAAATGAAAATTTCCAGACCTTTATCGGTAAGTTAAGTATTTTTCGGAACAGACTGCAAAATTTGCTGATCTTTTGTCAATATTTTCATAATTTTACACCCAATCCCAATGAAAATTTCATCTCTTTCCATTTGCGATATCTAATTTTCGAAATGTCATCAATTTTTTGAGATAGCGAACTTAAAAAATAGAAGGTTTGACTCTGGCACAAATGTTGGGTTTCCAAGTTGAAAACAACATTTTAAGTAATGATGTACATCTCTTGTCATGTATATGAACTACCTTTGACCAATCCTGCTAATACACAAAATCTATTAAATCCAAATCTATCAGGAACAGCTACATGTCATTCAAGCTTACAGTTAACAACTAAATTATTCATACCCCTTGTAAATTTGGTGTTTTTTTGTGTTTTTCGTAACTCAAGAAAAAAAGGTGCACTGATTGAAGTAGGACCTTTGATGAATACTTTTAGATGTAAGCTTTAATATGTCCCATTCTCAAGAAACATTAATCGGGACAAATCAATTGTTCACCTACATGTACTTACAAAATTACAAAACTTGGTAAGAGTATGAATGATTTAGTTGTTAACAAATAAAATGTAATTCAAATAAGCTTGTACTGCGCCAGTGTCAATCTATATTTTGTTTGTGTGACCTATGCACCTAGGCCAAGTACAAGGACAAAGGATCTGAGATTGCAGAGGATCAGTTGAATCAGATGAGTCGTCAGCTGGAGGTCTTCAGGACCAACCTTGAAGAGTTTGCCGCCAACCATAAGTCAGAGATCAAGAAGAACCCAGAGTTCAGGATGCAGTTCCAGGACATGTGCGCCACCATTGGAGTCGATCCATTAGCATGTGAGTGGTTAAAGGCAGAGATGCCAACCAGTACGATTAAAACTCATTTAGTACTATAATAAGAGTGAAATACGATAATACAATATCACCTCTTAAAATAAGATTTTTCATTTTTCAAAAAACCAAAGAAGAAAAAAAAAAAAAGATAAAAAACCCCTAAAAACCACGGAATCGCATAGAAACATGTACAAGTAAGCCCTGCAACCCCAACAAAAACTTTGCTTTACAATTTTCTCATTACATTTTGATGATAGAGCAAACATTTTACTTGACCGTTCTTACCAGTGTAACATTTTCCTGAAATTTTACTGGCCCAGGGCCAACGCGCCAGTGTAGACTAGTGTCGAGTTTTCTCTTCAAACTCTGATTTTTTAGGATACTCTGTCTGTTTTTTGTGTGTCAAGAGGTTGGCATCTCTGTAGGGGAGCTCCACCTGGGGTTATTTCACAAAGACTAAGATTGACTTTAAGTTGGACTTAACTATGGCACACCATTCATGCCACTGGTTGCTCTCACTTTTGTTCTCTCAATTATGATCTGTAATGTTTTTCCCTTCAGTAATGAACTATCAAAAAATGTAGATATGTGACCATGATTTGCAAGTCCCTTGATAGACCAATGCAAGTAAATGGTGAGAGAAAACGGTGGCATGAACAGCCTGCCATAGTTAAGTCCAACTTAAAGTCAATCTTAGTCTTGGTGAAACACTCTCCTGGATATTATCTTGGTGTTAATAAAAGCAGAGAAAATGAGAGAAAGAAATAAGTGAATGTTTGAGCAATACCCAATTAAAAATAACAGCTGGGAAAGGGTTTTGGTCAGAGCTGTTAGAAGCGTAAGATTTCTACTGCGAGATAGTGACAATGAAATATTGCTAGACTTTGCAACGGATGTAGAACCCTTTCTTTTTTTTACTTATTTTTCTTGGGCCTGTCCTTGTTGGTGATCTTGGTCTATATTTTCATTTTTTTAAATTTTTATTCTTAACAAACGGCTGGGAAACGGTTTTGGTAAGAGTTGTAGTCCTGACTCGAGTTGTGAGTTTTCTGCCAAGAGATATTGACAATGAAATGTTGCTATACCTTGCAACGGATAGTTTTATCAAAGTTGACCAATTTTTGTTTGTACAGTCAAACCTGTCTACAACAACCGCAAAAAACGCAAGGGAAACACAAAAAGTGTTTTTTGTAGACAGGTTTCTTTAGTACATGTTTCAATGAGAAATCATTTTCAAGGGAAACAAAAAATGTTCGTGTTGTAGACAGGTGGTCACTAAAGCAGGTTTTGACTGTACTTGTTTTTCTTTTGCTTGTTGTTATTAGCGATCTCTGTCATAATTTGTTTTTTTTCCTACTCTTATCAGCCGGGAAAGGGTTCTGGTCAGAGATGTTAGGAGTTGGAGATTTCTACTATGAAATTGGCGTTCAGATCATTGAGGTTTGCCTGGCGACGCAGCATCGCAACGGAGGACTAATGAACCTTGAAGAGCTGCTCTACAAAGTCAGGAAAACGAGAGGACAGACAAAGCAGGCCCAGGATGTCAGTCTGTAAGTACATCTTGAAGTTGAAGTTTCTTTCAGAGGGGTTTTTCACAAAGATCCTAAGTTGGACTTAAAAATTATGGGAAGCCATTAACATCTATGAAAATATTTTGTAAAATTTATTTTTAAATGGCATAAAATGTTGATTCAAGTCATTCATATTTTCTATTATCAAGGAGATTTCATGTTCTTGATGTGGAATTTAAACTTTATGTAAATGAATGGTAAGTGATAATAGCTATGCTCTAGAACGTTCCCATACATACCTGCATGTTATGGTATGTGAAGTGCATTACGCTTAATTCACTCCTGCGGTTTACAGTGGATTTCCGCGGCATACATTGTATGTGGACAAGGTTTTAGAGGTAAAGTCCTTTGCTCATGCATGCATGCATTTATTCCCATTCATCGTTTATTTTTGCCTTTTTCTTTTTCTCATCTTTAGCGATGACATCAAAAGAGCTATCAAGAAGCTGAAAATCTTGGGTAATGGATTCGGTCTTCATTGCCTGGACGATGGGCGGTTCATCGTTCAGTCTGTACCGGCAGAGCTTAGTATGGACCACACAAGTGTTCTCAATGTAGCACAGGTGAGTGTCCAAAATTGGATCGTTGTTAGATCGTATATTGTGCAATGGGCTTTAGACTAGTTGTGTTCTTATTATCCCTGAAAGGGCTTAATTTGGACCACATAATGTAGCACAGGGGGTTTTAATAGCCCAACGCATACTTCACAGATCTCATACAACCTCATTTAAAATAAATGGGAATAATAGTAGATAGATATGAAAATGTAAACAAACATCTTCTCCCTGATTTGGATTCCAAATAATGATAAGAAAACTAATAACTGGAATTGTAGTATTTTTTTAAATCAAATTAAAAACAGAATAGGCTTCAAATCATAGTGTGTTGGCTCAGTCATTAGAGCGTTCGCCTCACAACCGGGAGGTCGTGGGTTCGAACCCCGGCGGCGTCATACCAAAAGACGTCAAAAGACGGGAGTTGCTGCTACCTTGTTTGGTGCTCAAAATTAAAGGATAGAGCAACGTCGATCTGGCGCTGCTCAGTGGCTGCCGGGCTCATGATCAATTGGGCAAAAAGAATTTCCATTTTTGGTTTAACTTAATAAAATTTGGAGTGGACTTTAAAATATTATTATTATTATTACTAGTACTGGTGACTGGTCAGACAACGATTTAGCTTATCCTTCTCAAAGGAAGCATGATATCCCATTAAATTTAGATTTTATTAATAATACATGTATGACTATTCAGATCCTTGGTCATGAAGTTTTGACAGGTTTAACTGTTCATTTCAAATGCTATCATTTCAAATTCTTCCAAAATTGGATCTTAGTCAGAACGTGTAGTGTGCTATGGATGGGCTTTAAACTAGTTGTGTTCTTATTATCCCTGCAAAGGCTTTGTTTGAATCACGATAGCTTGTATGAGTTAACTCAGTAGTGTTCATACTCGTATTCTAAAAAACTTTCTAGGAAAAGACTACATTAATGACATTGGAATACAATTTTAAGATTGTTTTCATTGAGCAATATATATTTTGTTTAACAGTTGTATTGTGCAATCAGTAAATTTGTTTTCTGGTCAATATTTTCAACATATTTTGTGTATCTGCCATTATAATTGAAAGTGTTATTTTTCTCTTTGTTTTAGGGTACCGGATGTGTGTCCGTCTCTGATCTGAAGACCAAACTGAAATGGGAAGAAGACAGAGCAAAACTAGTTATGGTATGATGATGATATCAAGTTTAAAGGGATAGACCAGTTTTGGAAACGCCCCCCTCTCAAAAAATGAATTGGAAGCTCTTATTACCAATCATATGAAAGAATACGTTTTGACTAATACATGATGATACAAATTTTTTCGAGAAATCACCTACTAATTGATATATTTGGTAAATTATCATATCGGCCTGGATAGATATCGCTAATGCACTTCAATATCGAACATTTGGGCATATATTTCTGCTTTTTTTGCAAATTTAGGTTGAATCATTTCCATCTAAACCTCTGAAGGCAATATTTAAACAATATTGAATGGATATATGCACCCAAAACCCTTGAACCGCAATTTTACAACTAACGGTCTAAATCTTTAACACTTCAATTGCTTTATTTGCCTCTCTTTACGACGCTCATTTGCCACACGTGCAACTTTACACAAAACAATAGGGTTACTTTGTGCAACACAGTGGCTTAGCAAAATTACACATGTCCAGTTTTGATTAGCTCCATGACAACCCTAGTAAACACCTGTATATCTTTATTTTGCACTGGAAACAGTTAAATGATCTTGAAGTTGTTGGTTATCTATCCCATGATACATACAATGTTCTCTTTCTTCCTGTAAAGAAACCAGATGTTAAAGCTTATCTGAACTAGTTTGACCAGGAGGGATTAGACCTCCCTGCATGGGCATTGACACCTGGTTATCTCATCAAAGCTCTCAATTAACATAAGAAAAAGGGGACCGTGGGGGACCAATGGTCACCGATTAGGCATTGTTTGCTATATAGAGGGCGCAAGTAGCTATAAGCAGTGCAGAGAGACTTTAACGGGCTTTGACAGGAAAGAGAGCTTGAATAACCTTATTTTAAGCTTTTCATTTCAGATATTGGTTGTATTTACATGTTTATTCTCCTCATTTTTTATATCTTCTTTCACCTACATTTTCTTTTTTCCCTCTCAATTTGTTGTCTCCTTCATCCTATTTTTGACACTGTTCTCTGTTTTCTCTTCTTTTGGTTAACCGGGCTCTGTTGTCCTATTCTTCCTTTCTCTCTCTCTGTCTTTCACTTTATTCTCCATCCCTTCTCATCCGTTGTTCCTTCTTTCTTCTCTCTCTCATAGGATCAGCTGGTCAAGGAAGGTTTAGTATGGGTGGACGACCAGGACAGGTCAGGCAGGCTCTACTGGTTTCCAGGACTCTTCCCAGAAACTTGATGAAAGTGATTATTTTATTCTATTTCATACACTGTGTTGATAAATGTATAGTGATTATAATCTGGAATTATATATCGCTTTGTGCGAAATACCTTGCCTTACCAATCCCTCCTGACGACGGATAGTCAACCTGTTCGAAACGTCAAGCCACTCATCCTCTCCAAGCGCTATAGTTCTCCTTAGAACTATAAGCTAAAAAAGATAACTTACAGTCTTTTTCAAGACTATACCAACAGTCCTTTTCAGGACTACAAACCCCCAAGAAAGATAACTGAGAATCCTTTTCAGGACTCCTCAATCCTCCCTCTGTATATTTACATCATATTTTAAAGATACTATATCCCATTTGCTGGCCCCCAAAACACACAAAAAGGTTAAATTCCAGCAGCATTTGAAAAAAAAATACTTTTTAGAACTTCTCTCAAAAACGAAAGGGCTTGAAAATGGCTTTTAGTGGGAAAATAAGGACCATTAGTTGTCGAATCAACTGAAGTGATTGCAATCACCTAAGTAGTAGTCTGATTTTCAGACCCTTTTACCTAATGGTCGTACGTTTTGTGCTTCTCGAATATTCAATCAGTGTAATTTTGGCCATTACAAGTAGCAAGTTATTGCATGTTGACAAATGCTCATGGCCTCACCTACCTGTTACAGCTCATTTTATGTTTGTTATTACTGAAGAAAAAAAGATGTCAGTCAGTCACTCAATAGTGTCTGACAGTGAAGTCTAGCAAGTAAACAGGTATAATTGCATAATTTGAATACTAGGACACTGCTAATGTTTAAATTCCACAGATAGGACATACATGACATATTCATAATTCCTGCAAAATTCTACAGAATTTGATGTGGGCTGCAAAAAAGGCAAAACATCTTTAAGAGTCATGGTTTAACATTTGCCCTGAGTTGATCTTGACACCACTGTCATCCTACTTCTTCTCATAACCCAATACTGTTGTCATCAGGGGGGCGTCATGAAACAATAAGTCGGTGGTTTTCACCGACTAATATCATTTTCACCGACAATTTAGTCAGCACTGACTACATTTGACCAATCAGAGGCCTGGAAAATAGTCGGTGACAATAGAATTGTCGGTGAACGTGATATTATTCGGTAAAAACCACCGACTAATTGTTTCATGAAACGCCCCCCTTTGGCCCCCGTCTTATAAAGAGTTGACATCAATAGCAATTCAGTTGCAACTATGTAAATAAGAGATATGAGACTGCAAACTTGCAATTGATCGGAGGACTTGCCATTGATCTAAATTGATCAACCGCAACTCTTTACGATACAGGGCCATGGTTCCATGAATGGGAGGGCTAGACAGGTAGGAGGCTCCATTAGAAAACAGGATATGTGACTTGAATAGGACTAATTGAGGAACCCATGTTTGATCTGTTACTTTAATATAGTTTAGCAGTCCCTGAAATTCAATTCAATTCATTATTTTATGGTCTGTAAAATTATAGAGAAAGAGAAAGAAACATATATGACTAAACAAAATTGCACCTGGGCAAATCTTAGCCCAATGTCGAGTTTTTTCCGCAATTGTGACAATTCAAATTTTGGCTGTCTTTACAAAGTTTGACTTAATCAGAGAAATTTTCTTTTTTCAGGCCGAATTCCTTCTACCACCTTTACATTATCCATTTTCTTCTTATTTAATACATAGAATGGTGTTCCTTTGAACACCTACCGCTTCATATCTGAACAAGACTTAACATGGATCCCTGGACTAGAGCCCCCCACCCCCCCCCCCCCTTCACTCAGTGTTATTTATGGTACGCGTATGCATGATCTCTCCCTTTGAAAGCATCCCCCTAAATCCGGTGTGTAAAGTCAATACGGGCCTCTTTTTTGTGTAGTACGAGGCAGACTTTGAACCGTGCTCTACTCTTAATCCTTGTCTGAATGTCATGAATGTAGGCCCTCCGTTCCCGGAGTGGGGGGAGGGGGGGGGGGGGGGGCGGGGACTAGAGCAAATTATTTATTTACTTGTTTATTTATTTCTAATCTTTTGACAGGGTAGCCCATTCGCCAACAAGTAGTGGTCTTCCATGGGGCCCTGAATGAACATATTTACATCGTTTATAACATTTTTACAGAACAGTTACAAAAATAATACTCGTTTGCAAAATAAACATAAATCATTAACCTAGTAAACAGTAATGTCAATAGGAAAATATTTATTAAGTCGCAATTATGTGAATAAGTCATGTTAATATTACAGAACATGCACGTAGTGTATGTTCGGCTGAGCCATTCACAAATTGCAACTTTGTTTAAACAATCTCTTAAATGAATGTGTGTAAAAGACACAAGTAATAATATCTAATTTGCTTCTAAAGATGGCTACACACATTGAGCAGAATTCAATACTCCAGTGTATGCTTGTACTTACAAAATCTCAAGCAAATGCTTGTGATGTGAACATGAAAAGTGCCCCTATTTAATCAGATGAGGAAGAGAGGATCACAAAGACTTTAAATAGATCACCCTAAGGCAATGCCTGTGCGTGACCCATTCCACCGTGCAAACTTGACAATGCCATATTCTGTAATCTGAATATCATTGTTATATGCGGTATAAAAGGTTATTGAAATTGACCCAAAATTTGTTATGTTGGGTTGTTTGTAGTGTTAATACAGAAAGATATTGGAATGTATGTATACCAAGTAGCGGATCCAGGGGGACCTCCCCCCCCCCCCCCTTTCAATGTGTGTAAATGTGTTTTCAAAATGTGTAAAAACATGTTAATTTTACCTTTTTTGGAGATGGGCCCCTTCCCCTGCTGCTGAAGGGGGGGGGGGGGGGGTGCGAGTTTTCACATTTTCGAGGGCCCCCCAAAAAGAATTAGTGCTCATGAATTGGGCCCCCTCCCCTGCCACCGACTGGATCCGCCCCTGTGTATACCGGTACCCGTAGTAATAATGTGTTGACTTATACAACATGTGTTTTGAATGAATGTGAACATCAGCAAGAGTGTTTAAGAGGCATTTACTGTTATACAGTCAAATCTGCTTTAGTGACCACCTGTCTGCAAAGACAAACATTTTTTTTGTTTCCCTTGACCATGGTTTCTCATTGAAACATGTACTAAAGGAACCCGTCCTTGCTGTCTACAAAGACCACTTTTTGTGTTTTCTCTTGGGCGGTCGCTATAGACAGGTTTGACTGTATATCCAGTCTTTGGTCAGCCTTATTTCTTGTTCGTAATTGAAATACTGTACATTTGTTTGAAATATGAATGTGTATTACCTAATAAAAATGTAAAAAGAGATAAAAATAAAATGTAAAAAGAGATAAAAATAAAATGTAAAAAGAGATAAAATAACATTCTTTTGTGTACATTTGGTATTTTCCATCTCTTGGTGGACTGATTGGTCTGTCGGTAGTTCATGCCATCACATTTGATGCATGCTTTTCTATTCACGGAGTGAAGGCGAGAGAGAGAGAGGAGGCAGAGAAGAGAAAGGGAAAGAGGGGAGGGGATGAAATAGAGTGAGTGAGAGAGAGAGAGAAAGAGAGACAGAGAAGGGGGCGGCAGAATGAGGGCAATTAAAAGAAGGGGAGAAAGAACCAGGCGCGGATCCAGGATTTCTTGGGGGGGGGGGGGGCCAAATTTGAAATTATGCAAGCTAAATATTGGTACGTAATGATGACACCGGCAGCGGCAAAAAACTTTTTTTTTTTGGGGGGGGGGGGGGTAGAATAACAAAAATCCCCATCATCCCCATTACATCCAGGCCCGGCTGAACGTTTGTTGGCGGAGGACAAGGGATGGGGCCCCCATAAGCTCAGGGGTATAGGCATTTAATTACTGTCAGATGAGCATGGGTGTCGATCACGGGGGGGGGGGGGGGATGGGTGATATATCCTCCCCCAATATTTCAGGTGGGGGAATGGCCAGTACAATCATCCCCCCCCCCCAATAATTCACCATCAAAATGAAGAGAAAAATTAATGATGAGAGCCCGATGAGAGTAGTTGACCACAAGATGACCACCAATATAAATATTTTGCTATCTCATTTTCATAATACATACATATGTAAATAGGAAACGAAGTAAATGAGACAACCTTATATGAGACAAGAATAAATTGAATTCTCGCTCATACGGCGCCATCAGGAATTGATGGTTGAATTGATTGATGAATTTATTCAATTCATTCAATCAACAGCATCATAGAAATGCAGTGCGCCAAATGCAAAGCCGCAGCGTTAAAAAGCAACGAGCTAAATGTTAAGCGCGAAGCGCAAAAGTGCAAAAAAAAAAAGAAGTAAAAAGTGGGAGAGAGAGATAATGAGAGACTGAGAGGATAATAGCCCAGGTAGCAAGCCCATTTAGTACCTACATATCCCATTTCCCCCATATGGGCTTGCTACCTGGGAAAAGGGGAAAAGGGAAAGAAACGGGCAGAAGAAAAAAAGGAAGGGGGAAGAGAAAAGGAAGAAAGACAAGAAAAAGACGGTTTTGTTCAAATGGCAGCATGTAGGAGGCGAAACTTCCAGTTTGTTCCCTGATTCGTACTCAGTATCTATTTTGTTTTATTGATTCCATCCATTTCTTTGTTTATTTATATCTCTACATGTAAAACATTTCAAGAGCTATTTTCCGAAAGGAGCAAAATCTTTTGATAGCAAATGGAAATAATGATATACATTTTCCTCTATTTACCTTGAACACATGCATCTTTTAATAACAATTTTCCATAGACACCTGAACAAAATCGGGTAAACAAAGAGTTTTTTCTTAAGTTACACACATGGATCTAGTGCCTCTTGAAAATAAGCTCTGTGTATGTACATAAACAACCAATACAACGGAATACTCCAGTTCGATATTTTGGAGAAAGATTATTATGTCACAACTTATTTTTGTTTTATTGAAAAGCTGATATAGGCCTATTATGTATTGTATTCAAACGAAACAGGCATAAGATAGTTAAGGTGTTTTTGAAGGTTAGAATGTTATTTAAGTTTGAAGTTTTGTCTATAACACCCTTCCAATAATAATGCACCTTCTAAGACTGGTTATAGTTTTGAAAGAAAAAAATAGTGCTCCGGTCAGGCCTTACGGGAATATTATGCTTATACTTTAGAGCGTATCTGGTATGATAAGTATATCTGGGTGAAGAAGGAGATAATGGAAGTTTGTTGTTTGGTAGTTGGAATGTTAGTGTTATATTATGTTT